TAAAGTCTCCACAAATCAACAAGCCGCTGTATATATTAGACAGAAGTTCATTTGCTTTAATAATGGACGCTTCGATATTCTCGAGTTGATCTAGCATGTGTGGCCTGCATATGCAACCCAAAAGAATGTGTTCGGAACCGTACGGTATTTCGCACCAAATTTGTTCAGGGGAATCTAATAAAACAATTTCGCTTACTTCATTAGGTTTTAATGAAGTGTCGACATAAATAGCCACCCCACCTCCTCGACTGGAAACGCAATCTTTTCTGAATAACATATAGTTTTCAATGTTAGGTTTCTGTAACGAAGATTATTTTAGGGTTGTATGTCTTGATTTGATAATAGAAACTCTGGCATTTTATTGTTAAGGAATGTAGCATTGGTATAACAGCATGGTATTTTATGGAAAGCTGACTGTTGTCGTAGAATAATAGTTGAAAATGACTTGCATTTGCCCAGTTGTTTTTTAAATTAAGAGGCTCGTTTTTCTTTTTCAACTCGTTTCGTAATTGTCTATCTTGTCTTCTTTATGCTTCTGTCAGATCTGGATTAACATAGATGCCTTCAAATTTACATCGGGCTGCTTTAACAATATTTTTTCTGGTGACAGTATCAGTCGCCTTAACTATAATAGGTGGAGGTTTATTCGGATCTTTTGACCGTAAACGTAAACATTTTATTATATTGTCCGAATTAATTTTAACCTTGGTTAGAAGCTCTTTTATTTTGTTCTCATCGTCTACTTGCTTCTCGTTAGGTTCTTTTTTAGTCGATGCTGGAATGCCAAAGACAATAAGATTTTTGTCACGCTTCATTCTATCTTTGTTCTCATTGGCTACACAATTAAGCAAATCTAGCTGAGCTGGCGTTTTATTTGATTTTTTTCCGACCACAACATTCCATGCTTCCGTTGTAGTTAAGGAAGCAATGGGCTTTTCCTCAAGTTGTTGGATTTGCTTTGGGAGGGCGATGATCGTCGATGTTTGTTCAACAACCTTTTTTGATAACGCTTCTACTTGCTTTAGAAGCGTCTCGTACTTGGTATTCAACTCAGAAATGTCGGCTTTTGGAGGCATTTAGCGTGAATATGTTTAAACAACAGTATATATAGTTTATATAATATTTAAATTATATGTATATTGATATATATATGTACATATGTATATATATATAGACATATAATAATATAATTGTATTTTCATTACGAATATAAATTTCATATAATCTATACAAATTTTTTATAAATAACTTTTTTTTATTTTTTTTTATTTTTAAATGGCGAATTTAAAAATAAAAAAAAGTTTTTAAATGGCGAATAGTTTTTAAATGGCGAATGAAGTCGTAACTGTAGTCGCAACTCTATCGGTAATAAAAGCTTGACAAAACTTACATCGTGCCGATCTAGTTTTTCCTTTTTTTTTCTCCAACCCTGTATACTTAAGGCACTGCAAGCGTTTTTATAGCATTCATAGTTATAAATTAAAATTTAAAAACTTTGCAAATCGCAAAAATCGGTTGCAAGCTCACTTTAGAGTATTTAGAATAAGAACAATAGTGCAGAAACTTCCGAAATGGCGCACGTGTTTTTATAACAAATTTTATAAATAAATTACATAAAAGATAAAAAGGAAACAAAAAGAAATTTTGGTTTGTGGTATTGAACGAGCAATACATGCTTATCAAGCAACTGATTATTTTCAAAACAATTATGGAAGTTACTATGAAAAATATACAAAAACTCATAACGACCAAACAAGACGAACAAAAAAAAAGTATTCTAAATAAAACTGAAGCACTTCTAAAAAATCAAGAAAAGTTATTTACTGAAATAATCAGTGATGGATCCAGGAGGAAAAGAGGAGGGGATAGGATGGTGTTATGCATCTTGCCCCCCCCCCTCCTTTTCCCCAGAATCTGAAAGTCCTAAAATATCTTTAAAATGGAAATCGCTAAAAATTCCTGGATCCGTAACTGAGAATGTGTACGAATTTGAAAATAAGAAAAACTGGATAACAAATTTAAAGGACGGGATAGCTCAGATGGTTAGAGCGTTAAAAGGAAAAGTTAAAACCCGGACTGTTGAACGATACGAGTTCAAATCCCGCCACCGCCAACTCAGTGCCTGAGTATTACTTCGGTACGCAAAAATGTTGGTCAATAACGGACGCTACTTTGGATTAGTCATAATGACTATTTGTGGCTGTTCCTATGCTAATCCAACAATATCTTCGGATAAAAGAACATTGTATAAAAAAATATAGCATGAAAACTCAAATAAATAAAAAAATAAAAAATAAAAAACTGACTGTTTTTTTAAGAAACTTCTAGATACAGTGGACTTTTTTTAGAAATCGTTGATTGTGTCCCTCCACTTCAAAAACCGTGTCGTCAGCCATAGTTATATGGCCAATGAAATTAGCACCTTAAAACAAAAAACTATTGATTTGGAGAATCTTTTACGCCGAAATAACTTATGGATTGATGGATTAACTGAGCTGCCTAATAAAACTTGGAATGATTATGCAAATCAACTTTGAGATATATTTAGAAACAAGCTGGAAATCTTAGAGGATATAATTATTGAAAGAGCTTATCGTGTCGGGAAAAAAAATAAAGATGAATCTTCATCCAGTGCGCACCGGACCAAAAAAAGACGTCTTTTGACGTTCAAAAGACGTTCAAAAGACGTCCAAAACATTTATTTTATCTTCAAGAACAATAGCTGTTAAACTATTAGACTTTTAAAATAAAAATAAAATCTTAACATAAACGAAAAAACTCAAGGGTACAGGGATATTTATCAACGAAGTTTACACAAATGAAATACTGAAAATAAAGAATAAGCTATGGGTAAACGTTAAAAAATTTCGAAAAGAAGGTAAATACTATTATTAAATATGATTAAATATTCGTTAAAGAATTTCGTAAATAAAGAAACTGGCAAGCTTTAAATCTGCAATATTTGTAATTAAAAAGTTATTAAACTGACATAATGGCTTTCAAATAAATTGACTTGGAAACCCATTACTCCGATAATTTTAAAAGCACAAATAACATATTATAACTTTTATCACGCGGATAAAAAAATATTTAACAAAAAATGATGCAATACAAAATATTTTGGTATTGAAACTTTTAAAACCCAATTTAAATCATGTAATGAAAACTTTTCGGTCTTAACACATAAATATAAGAAGTATTAACACAAATATTGTCAAATAAAAAAACTTCCTTTTAGAATGTAATTGTTTATTCAGTATGGTTTGTATTACGGAAACGCATGTCCGGTCGAACTTTCACAAACAAATTCAAATTTTTAACTACAAAACGATTTCTTTTGAAAGATAAGTACTTAACAGAGGCGGAGGAATTATAGTGTATACTCGGAATGATTTAGAAAAAAAGAACAAAAATGACCATTTATTTTATGATCCAGAGGTGTGATCTGTAAGGCTTTTACAATTTAATTAATTATTCACAAAAAGAAAAAGATTCTAGTAACTACTGTTACAGACCATCTGATGGTTAAGGACCACCTGACTGCTACGGACCAGCTGATGGCAATATTATTAAATTTTCTAACTTTTTGAATCAAGTTTTTATTAATAGAGCTTATAAATACTGCTTATAAAACATTAAAAACAGTTTCCTTGAACACTACAATAAGCACTTTTCACTTACAGAAAAAGAAATAAAAGTTAATTACTTGAAATGTCCATAGATTTCAGGACGAATAAAAAAATCCTGTAAGAAAAAATATAAATGTACTATATTTTACTATACTATATAAGTATTTAAAAAGTCTTACGATCTATAAACAATAAAAAAACCTTTTTGGAAAAATATAAAAAATATAAAAAATTGAATTTTTCTAAACAATTACAAAAACATAGTGGTAGTATTAAAAAAATTATGAACGAAATTAGTAGTAAAACTAAATTAAAATCAGAGTCTTTACCCTCCAGTATCGAGGAAAATGGATTTGAGGATACAGATTAAGAAATGTCAGATAAATTTAATAATTTTGTTATAAATATTGGCCCAAACCTAGCATCACAAATAAAAAATTTGAACAAATCATTTTATAGCTATTTTACTGACCATACTAGCTTACTTTCTGAAAATGGTTTAAAGTTTGAGGAATTCAAAGAAGCAAAAAAATCGCAAAAAAAAATGAAGGTCTAGGCATCAATGGTATTTCCAGCAATGTACTTTTTGATATTTTTAAATCATCAACTCGAACAGGAACTGTACCAGAAAAAGGTACAGTTCTTTTATAATGGCGTATCTTTTATAATGCACCGAACATATTTTTATTAGGCGTATCTTTTATAATGCACCGAACATATTTTTAAGTAGTCGTTCACGAGAAAAAAAAAACAATAAAATTAACCCTTTAATTTAATTAAGTATATTTTATAATTGTTATATTTATTAAGAGTTTAAAACAAAAAGTTTCTTTGACTACTGTGAATGTATTAGGCATTCACAGGTCAAAAAAAAGGTTTGCGTCGTGTTTTCATTCTTGCAAACTTATTTATTAAGCCTTCATAACTTAATTTCCTTGCCACCTCGTTCTCGATTGACAGCATTGCTAGGGAAGACAAACGTTCATCGACCATTGTTGACCTACATAAAGATACAAAGAAATATAGTTATATGTGTTTACGTAGAAGGAAGTAAGAGTATTTATACTGACCTATGAAAAGTTTTAATTAATTTTAACTTGCTAAAGCTACGTTCTGCACTTGCAACAGTTACTGGAGAAGTAAGAATGATGCGTAACGCAATAACTAGATTAGGATAAGTTTCCTGCAGCTCTTCTTTGTAGACGTAGTTAAGGAAGTCATATGCAGATTTCAGGTTTGTATTTTTGTCCTCTTGTACAACTATGACAAATCGTTTCAACTCCATTTCCAAATCCTCAGAATCTATATCACCGAGCTTCGTTTGCAAATTTGTGCAAAATACAGTAAGAGAATTTTCATTACAGGCTTTCATTACAGACTCTCAGACCGGTAAAGAAAGTCAAAAAGATTTGTGAAGATACTGACCTGTTCAAAACGCTCCTTTACTGATGCAATTGACATGTCAATGAGTGGCAAAAAGAAATCTGCTTTATACTGATGCTCAGGTTGCCGAGTTTCATCAGCACACTCCTATGAATACATTTTTTTTTTTTCGTAAGCGCTTTTGTTGAAAAAACTTTTTCAATGCCCAATTCTTCTGCAATTTCTTGTGCTTTAATATGTGCGTCAGTAAATCCAGTCTCACGATACTCATAAAGAAATGTATTTGTTGCTTTTATTTCACTAGCCAATATGTCAAGAGAGGTTAAAGAAGACTGAAGAAGCTTACTTGATTTGTTGATTTGAAATAAAACGTCATACCAAATAATGATTGATAATAAGAAAGGCCATGTCCTAATATATTCAATCAGAGATCGTACTTCTGTGGCTGTTGCCCCATCTTTCTTTTCAAAGGCATGTTTTTCCAATCTGTCGAGTGCCTCTAAAATTTCTTTCAGATAATAGCGAAGTAGTTTAACACAGTTTATTTTACTTTCCCATCTTGTATCTGATTGTGGTTTGACAGAAATTTCCACACACGATTTTAAAATTTCCCATCGAGGAGGAGACGATGAAAAGAGGGTACACAATCTTGTAAGAACTCCAAAAAAAGATATTGCACTGATAGATGACAGTGCACCATCAACAATAACAAGATTCAGTGAATGATTTGCACATGGAACATATATAGCCTTTGGGTTCATTTCTAGAAGCCTGGCTTGAACACCTTTAAGTTTTCCTTTTATGTTAGCACCATTATCATAAGATTGGCCTCGACAATCAAGAATATTTAGATCCCATTTTTTTGCCTGATTTAAAAAGACATCCAAAAGCCCTTTTCCAATGGTATCATTTACTGTGAGATATATAAAGAAATTTTCGGAAATGTTAATACCTACTCTAGAAGTACATGTCACTGATCTTAAAATTATGCTCATTTGTTCTTTGCGCGAAACGTCTGGCGTGCAATCTAAAATAACCGAATAGTATTTTGCTTTTTTTACCATAGAAAGGTTTTCTGATTCAATCTCCTGCGGTAAACATCTAATCAACTCGTTCTGTGTGTCATTGCTCAAATAGTGAGCGTTTGTTTTTTTGTCCTGAATTCTTAACAGAAGCTCCTTGAGGACGGCATCGTACTTAGCCAGTAATTCAAACACCCCAAGAAAATTTCCATTGCTCTTTGAACCAATTGCCGTGTCTGAACCACGGAATGCAAGATTTCTTGCTGAAAGAAATAACGTAATGTCCAGTATCCTTTCCAACACAGATCTCCAAAATACCCGCTCTTTATGAAGCAACTTTTGTTGTTGCTCGTCTATGGTAGCTTGATTTGCTATGCCTGCATTGTCAAAATTGAAAAAAAAATTAATATTTTAGCAATAAAAAAAGTAACAAAACAAGTTAAATGAAATATCAGTTACCTTTTCGTAATGTCATCCAATGTTCAAAGCATTTTAAATGTGCACTGCATGTTTCGTATTCTTTAAGTTTTTTTGATAAGCCTTCCCACGTGTTTATTCCTTTTCGAAATGGTGAAGAAGTTATCCCAAAAAGTTTGCAACAGAAACAAAACACTTTATCACTATTTAAAGAATATATAAGCCATGATCTTTCAAAGATTTCTCCATTTTTCATTTTGCGGTTATAATAACTCATGGAAAATCGTCTTCTTTCTGAATTTTTTGGAAAGTCGATTTCAATCTTTTTTAAACCTCGTTTAACAACATCACACTTCTGAGCGTCAGAAACATTATCAGGCCAATCAGAAGGATCATCACTGAGAAATATTAGTGGATTTGTTGTGGCATTTGATTCACAGATTAAACCATGACTTACATTTGACTTTGCATTTGAGTCATAGATTAACCCATCTGACTCTAGTCTAGTACCCAAATAATCACAGTCAAAATTATTTGTTGATATCAAAACACTGCTAGCCGGAACTGCTGGTTTTAAAAAATGTGTTAGCTTGGGGTATTTCATGATTTTCTCCATGGCTGCAGCTTTTTCTCTTCTTTTAGTGGCACCGCTTTTCACTTTTTTCATTCCAATAATTCCAAAATATTGTAAAAAACTAAGAATGAAAGATAATTATATTTTTTGCTAGGCATAAAACATAAGTAATAGAAATAATAGTAATAAGATACACTTTACCGTGGTGAATTGGTAAACAGTTGAATTACCAGCAAATTATAGTTAATCAATAAATAACCTAATTAAAATAATAAATTCGCTTGTAATCATAAAATAAGCGACATACTTTGAAATATATTTCCCCACGAAACGCTGTTTAATGGTTTCTCATTAGCGCGCTAGTAACTTCTAACAAACCGCTAAATAACATCAGACAAACCGCTAAAATAACATCAGACAAACCGCTATAGTGGTTTCTCAAAAAACTTCTAACAAAACAAAAGAACTCGGGAGTGTAAATTGTTTTTGCGTAAAAATGACTTTTGCTTTTTTTACTTTTTAGCATGCATAACTTAGTTAATATAATAATTAAAATGCAAATCTTTTTACTTCACTTAAACCCTTTTAAAGTTAAAAGATATTTTAACTTTTAGAAAGGGCCCCTAAAATACTGCCCCCCCCCCCCCAATTGGAGGGTTTGGGGATGCCTAGCCACGGCTCTGTATTTATGGCAGATATAAGCAATCATTTCCCGATATTCTTGAAAATAAAAAACCTTAAATCTACGTCTGACTGTCAATCTAAAACCATATATTTGAAAAAACGAAATTTAAAATGAGTAACACAGATAAGTTAACAAGTAGGCTAAAACAAGAAACTTGGAACAACGTATGTAAATGTCAAGATACTAATGAAGCTTACAATGCTTTTTTAAATACATTTTTGGAGTATTTTAACGAAACCTGTCCGCAAGAGATTATAAAAAGTCAAAAGCTCTGGCTAATCCGTGGATGGATAAATCATTGTTAAAGTGCTCAAAAAAAAAGCAAAAACTTTACAATAAATTTCTGAAAAATAAAAACAATAATAATGAAAAAAATTACAAAAGTTATAAATGTTTTCATCAAGATCTCATTAAAAATGCCAAAAAAAAAAAAAAAATTAAAGTTATCAAATTAACAAATGTAAATTTGATAGCAAAAAAACATGGTCCATTCTTAATGTAATAATGGGAAGAGAAAAACTAAATTCACCTTCACTACCTTAACGAATTGTTATTGAAAACAACGATATATTTTGTCAAAAACTCATCTCGGATGAATTCAATACATATTTTATTAGTATTGGTCCGAACCTTGTCAAAAAAATAATACCAACACCTGAATCTTTTAAAAATTATCTTAAACCCACGAATAACGTTATAATGCACGATTACGAATTAAGCTATGAAAAATTTGAGGTAGCTTTTGCCTCTTTAAAAAAAAAAAGCACCAGGATTTGATGAGATACCTAGTGATATAATTATTGCAAACAAACACAGTCTTAATAGACCTCTGATATATATACTAAAGCTTTCGTTAAATTCTGGGACTTTTCCGGATGTACTTAAATTAGCAAAAGTAACTCTTTTATACAAATGTAATGATCATTCTGACATTACAAACTACAGATCCATATCAATACTCTCTGTATTTTCAAAACTCTTCGAACGTGTAGTTTATAATAGAATCTATGATTACTTTATTAAAAACAATTTTTTTTACCCCAATCAGTTTGGCTTTCAAAAAAATCTTTAAACTGAGCATGCAATTATTAAAATAGTAAACCAAATAACTAATGGTTTTGCAAATAATAAGTTTACTTTAGAAGTATTTCTTGATTTATCAAAAGCGTTTGATACAGTGGGTCATTGCATTCTCTTAGATAAATTAAGACATTACGGAATAGTTAATAAAACCTATTATTGGATTAAAATCTTACCATCAGAAAGCAATATGTACATAATGTCCATTCTGGAGTATTAAATGTTTTATGCGGAGTCCCGCAGGGGTCAATTCTTGGTACACTCCTTTTTCTTATATATATGAATGACTTCTGTAATGCATCCTTAAAACTAAATTCAGTCATGTTTGCAGATGACACGAATCCATTTCTTACCAACAATAATATCGAAACATTAAACGCTGACATGAATATAGAACTAGTTAAAGTAAACAACTGGTTTAAAGCTAACAAACTCTCGCTTAATGCTGAGAAAACAAATTATATACTATTCCATAAAAAAATACAAAAGGAAAATCTTCCTCTCAAATTGCCTAAACTATTCCTAAATGATAAACTAATTAAAAAGCAATCCAATATAAAATTCTTAGGAATCATTGTTGATGAAAATTTATCCTGGGTTCCTCATATAATATACATCCAGTCAAAAATCACCAAAATTGTATCGAGTTCGCTCTTACGTTAATACACAAAGTCTGACGCAAACATTTCATGGGCAAGTTCTCAAACATCAAAGCTTTAAAAACTGTATAGTTTGCAAAAACGTGCTTGCAGAATCGTTTACTATAAGGATAGGCGTGAACACGCTAAACCCTTAATAAATGATATGAATATGATAAATGTGTTTGAAATAAATGTCTATCAGCGTTTAATTTTCATGTATCGTTACAATTACAATATCTCTCCGATAAGCTTTAATACCAAGTTTGAATTAAATAAAAATGAAAACTATAATCTTAGAGCAATCATGTTAAACATATATAAACTGCCTCGGATAATAAGTAAATATTCAGAATATAGCATTTCATATCGAGGTCCAAAAGTATAGAATACCGTTCAAAAAAGATTCAAAGGTACGGTAAATTCGTTAAGTTCATTCAAGGTTATAACAAAAAAAGAAATTTTTAAAATTTAAGAAACTTTTTTGGTTAATGTTACCACTCTACTTTTTGTTGTTCTTGTTGTTGTTGTTTAACAATCTTATTAGCGAATTACGTATTTTATTACGATATTTAATTGAAATTTTATTCGTATATATGTTACGAAATGTTCTATGAAATTTTATTACGTATTATGTAATACGATATTTTATTAAAATTTTGTTAAAGGGGCTCTATGAAAAGATTGCGATGACGTACTGTCATCCTCATCTTCTTTGAGCCCCTATCTGTTTTTACTCACTTTTTTTTTTTTATGAAGCACGTTGAAAAATTCTTGTTATAAAACAGAAAAAGAAAAAAAAAAAAAAAAAAAGACTCGAAAAGTAATTGACAAATCAAAATTAGGTAAAACAATCTTATTCTAGAAATATGGTGGACGATATGAAATACAAAATATATTAAACCTTGTTTAGAAATACGGTTCATTTATAAAATAATTATTTGAATTTGTTTATGGGTTTCAAAATAAAGAAATCTTTAAAAACTAAAAGGCATTAATTGTTTTTTCAGATTTAAATGAAACATAAAATAATTCGTATATCTTTATTACATATTTTTTAACTAAATTTAAAGCAAATCCATTTATAAAACAAAACAATCCTATTCAGGAAATACGGCGCACAAAAAATACAAAATTTATTAAATCTTTTTTTTCAAAACATTTACATTATTTATTATTAATTAATTTTACACCAAATCTCTTTATTTTAACTTGATTTATAGGTAAGGAACGTCTTGTAGCGAGAAGGAAAAAGAACCCATTTTTTTTGTTTTGGTTAATTTGTTACGTCCCAGCCGGCACAAGTCGTATCCAATACGTATTTTATTTGTCTTATTTTGGTATTGTTGAGCTAATACAATATATATACGTATTAAATACGTATATATAATAGAACCTTGTGGAACACCACATGAGATATATATATAATTTTTTTTAAATATACATCATTACAATAAACAAATGATTTTTGATTTCATAAATAGCTTTAAAACCATTGTAAAACCAGAATAATTTATTCGGTATTGTTTAAGTTTAGGGAGCAAAAAATCATAATCTACAGTATCGAATGCTTTGGATAGATCAATAAAAATATCAATTAAGAATTTTTAGAAGAAAGGGAGATTTTGCGTACAAACTGGATAATTACATGTTCAGTTGAATTTTTTCGAATTGATTTTTTATAACAGATTAATATTAATAAAATAATTGTAAATTCTATTATGCATAATTCATTATTAAATTTTTATAAATTGTAGATAGGGTAAGACCCTTTAAGAAAAAAAAAATTGAAAATGATCAGATCAAATATTTAGAAAAATTATATAAAATTATTTTTATTATTTAAGTTTATCTTGAAAAAAGCACGTTAAAATGTTTTCAAAAAAAATTTAATATTAGAGTGTTTACAGAATTTAAACTGTATATATTATGTCTATATATACTAATCCAGAATTTTTTTTTTTATTTTGACGTTTTAATATAAACTTGGTACAAATAATTAAAAAATTGAATAATATTACTGCCATGGATTGAGACACAAGAGATTTACATTAGAATTTTTTTAAATTTTGATGTCGCGGTCATTACGATAATTCCTACACCTCTTTTGAATGTTCTTCATTCAAAAGAAATAGTTTTATAGTTATGAATATGGAAAAATGAACTTTTTTTGAGATGACTTGTCGTCACACCGGTGTGACGACATTATTTGTATTACAGTAACACGGTACCGTGTTACTGTAATACAAATAATGTTAAACAAAAACAACATTCTATATTTATATTTTAAATTTATATTTAATTTTTAATATACTTTTTATAAATTATATTTAATATTTAAAAAAACTACGCACACTTTAAGTAGCTATTAAATAACAAAAATTTTACTATCTATACTGAGGCTAGTGAGTATAACATATATATTAGAGAGTATAACATACATATTAGAAAGTATAACATATATATTAGCAGGTATAGCATATATTAGAGAATATAACATATATATTAGAGAGTATAACATATATATGAGAGAATATAACATATATTAGAGAGTATAACATACATATTAGAGAGTATAACATACATATTAGAGAGTATAACATACATATTAGAGAGTATAACATACATATTAGAGAGTATAACATACATATTAGAGAGTATAAAATACATATTAGAGAGTATAACATACACGTTAGAGAGTATAACATATATATTAGAGAATATAACATACATATTAGAGAGTATAACATACACGTTAGAGAGTATAACATACACGTTAGAGAGTATAACATACAATTACTCAGATTAGTGAGTATAACATAATACATATATACACTATAAACTAAAGTATAAATTTCAAAAAATTTTTACTATAAATATAACTAAATAAAAATTTAAACATATTAAATGAAACAGAAAACAAATTTTGCTTTATAATTTTTTTTTATATTAAAAAAAATAATAATAAAAAATAAAAATTAAGCGAGTTGAAAAATTCTGCCCATAACTCTCTTATTTTTATTTATTAGTTTTTATCAAGAGCATATAACATATATATAGTATTACTTATGATATCCACTAATTAAAAAAATAATAATAATAAAAAATAGTAATAAATAAAATAACTAGTAATTTAATGATGCAAATAAATATTATTATAAATATAAAAAAATTTATAAATAAAAAAAGAAAATAGAAAAAACGATGAATTTCGCTAAAAAAAAAAATCAAAAGAAAAAATACAGCAAAGGCAGAAAAAGTTAAATTAGTAATGTTTATCCGTTTTACTTTATTAACTAGCCGAGGAATTTTTTAATGTCTTCTTTTTTTTGTTAAGTTGTACTTTGTAGGGAACTTCTGCATTGGAAGAAACTTTTGGGTCGGAGGAAACTTTTGGTTTGGAGGGAACTTTTGCTTTAGAGGGAACTTCTGCTTTGGATGGAACTTTTGCTTTAGAGGAAACTTCTGCTTTGGATGGAACTTTTGCTTTAGAGGGAACTTCTGCTTTGGAGGGATCTTCTTCTTTGGATTTTAAACTTGTGCTAAATTTGGAGGGAACTTCTGCTTTGGAGGGAACTTCTGCTTTGGAGGGAACTTCTTCTTTGGATTTTAAACTTGTGCTAAATGAAAACAATAAGAGCAAAATAAAATTTCTTCAAAAATTCAATAAGAAAGTTAAAAATCAGAAAAAATTTAATAAAAAAATAAATAATATAATATAGGAAGAGAATAAAATAATGTAATATAGGTAGAGAAGTAAATTATTACAAAAATAAAAAAATTAAATAATTAATAAAAATAAAAAGCACTTGTAAAGATCGTTTAATTCCAAGTTCATTTTTGAGTCATTTACGCTATTATAATAAAGATCTATTTCTTCTTGAGATCTGAAAACATAAAATAAATCAGGTTAGAAAAAAGAAAAAAAATTCTGCTAAATATATATATATATATATATATATATATATATATATATATATATATATATATATATATATATATATATATATATATATATATATATCATATATATATATATATATATATATATATATATACACACAAATGCATGTATATATACATACATATATAAATATATATATAAATATATATATATATATGCATACATATATATGCATGTATATATATTTATTATATACATATATATTTATATATATATGTATATATATACATATATATATACATATATATGTATATATATAAACATATATACATGTATATATATATATATACATATATATATATATATATATATATATATATATATATATATATATATATATATATATATATATATATATATATATATATTTGAAAGATGACATCTTGTATGAAAGTATATTATATATTATTTTAAAACATCAAGAAATACAGTTTCTCTCAATACTAATAATTTTATTTTGTAAGAAATTTTCGCTGGGTTATGGATACCAGCATCATTAGCTTGTAAAATATTACAATAATTTTTAATCGTTATAGTTTATATAAAATTGTTACTATTGACGTCAGCGGTTGCATGGCTTCTTTTGATTTTTAAATTTTAAAAATGGCGTCCAAAACAGTTTTTTAATTAATGCTCTTCTGATGTTGATGCATTCGCGTATTTACCTGCATTTTTGTTTCACCTATGTAGACCTTGGAGCAGTTGCATTTTATTATATAGGTTCCAGGGTGGCTGTTACTTTGTAGTTTTGATTTGTTTTTTGATGTTAATAAAGATATATATTAAATTAGAACAAATTGCTGAAAAATCAAGGGAAAGCATGTTTATTAAATCAAAAGAACGATTAATAAAAAAGTTTAACATACTTCAAAGTGAACATGCAAATGAAAAAGATATTGCGAGAAAAAAAACAAAATATAAAAAGGACGCAGTTTTAAACCTTTGCGATACCGATATTTCCATAAGTCACAATGATTTTCTAAACCTTGGTCCAAATTTTGTACCATCTTTAAAGTCAATACCATACATGGATATTATAACAACAACAGAGTCTTCTGCGTTAAAATTAGAATACAACAACAATGTAGAAAACGCACAAGATTTAAGGAAAAATGTTTTAAGAATATTAAAAACAGACAAAAAAATAAATAACAATCTGACAAAAGAACAGAGGATATCTTCTAGAGAAATAAAAAACGATAAAACCATTGCTATATACCCGTTTGACAAAGGAACAGGTTTTGTAAGAATTGAACATTCTAAAGCTTTGGAAAAAATCCGTGAACAAATTGGCCCGACAAAAATTATTAGTGAAGACCCTACTGCCAGTTACGCAGCAAAAATGAGAAGATTTCTTTCAAAACTAAATAAAAAACAGCGTTTTTCTAAAGAGGAATACGAAAAAATATATCCAAGTGATCCTATCCCACCTCGATTGTATGGAGTAATAAAAGCTCATAAACCAGAAAATTTGTACCCTATGAGAATAATTATTTCTACCATTGGCACACCAAACCACAGAATATCAGAGTTTTAGTTAAAACAATACAGATGAAAATCCGATACGATTAAAAAACTCTTTTGACTTTATAAAAAAAGCAGAAAATTGGAATGTGGCTAACAATGATATTCAAGTGTCTTATGATGTTGTAAATCTGTACCTGTCAATTCCGTTAAAAGAAGCCACCATTATACTTTTAGAACAATTAAATAACCTTTTACCAAAACTTCGAAAATTATTCCGAAAAGCAGGGTACAGAGCAGTATTTAAATCAAACCCAAATTTAAGATCTTTATTAACATCAAAAAACAAATTTATCGAGCTCTTTATCGAGCTCATCACTTTCTTACTCTGGATTCTATTCTCTATCTCTATAAATCTCAAATCCGGCCTTGTATGGAATACTGTTGTCATATCTGGGGCGGATCTTCTAATGATGCCCTTTCTCTTTTAGACAAGGTGCAAAAACGCATTGTAAACATAGTTGGACCTGCTCTTGCAGCCAGCCTTCAACCTCTGTCACATCGTCGTAATGTTGCTTCTCTTTCTCTTTTCTACAAATACTATAATGGGCACTGCTCTAAAGAGCTAGCGTCTCTTGTGCCATCTATTAAAATTCATTCTCGTGTTACTCGTCATTCAATTAAGTCTCATCCTTTTTCTGTTACTGTTCCTAAGTGCTCCAAAAACTCTTATTCGTCTAGTTTTTTTCCTCGAACATCAGTTCTTTGGAATTTGCTTCCTTCATCTTGCTTTCCTGATTCATATAATTTGCAATATTTTAAGTCGTCTGTCAATCTTTATCTTGCTCTACAATCTTCATCTTTTCTCTTCCAGTAACTTCCAACACTAATTAGTGGTTGCTTGCAACCTTGTTGGAAGCGAAGATAATTAAAAAAAAAAAAAAAATCACAATTCCATCAGAACAAAACACATCAGATCAAAACACATCAGAACGAAACGCAATTCCATCAGAATACAATAATCTTCCTGTAGTGTCTTTACCATGGGTACCAGGCCTTTCACCAAAACTTTGAAAAAAATTCCGAAAAGCAGGGTACAGAACAGTATTTAAATCAAACCCAAATTTAAGATCTTTATTAACATCAAAAAACAAAAAAAAAATGAAAAAAAAAACAAAACAAAAAAAGTAACAGCCACCCTGGAACCTATATAATAAAATGCAACTGCTCCAAGGTCTACATAGGTGAAACAAAAATGCAGGTAAATACGCGAATGCATCAACATTAGAAGAGCATTAATGAAAACAAACCTAATCAATCTGCATTAGCATATCATAAAACCTTTTGCAAAGAAAATATTATTTGGGAAAAAACAAGAACATTAAAAGTAGAAAATAAAAAGTTTGAAAAAAAAATTAGAGAGGCACTAGAAATACAAAACAACATGTGCTCTGCACGAAACGGCAGAATTAATCTTGATGAAGGCCAATATGTAAAAACTATGTTTTGGACACCATTTTTAAAATTTAAAAATCAAAGGAAGCCATGCAACCCAGCGAAACTATATTTCTTGATGTTTTAAAATAATATATATATATATATATACATATATATATATATATATATATATATATATATATATATATATATATATATATATATATATATATATATATATATAGAGAGAGAGAGAGAGAGATAGAAAGAGAGAGAACTTTTGAATGAAAAGTCCAATTTCTTTCAATTTTCACTAGAATGTCAAAAAATTGATTACAATTCTAAAAGCAAATGCAATTTTACTAAGGCTAAGCAACCTAATCTTTAAAGTTCATTTTATTGAAATATGCGGGTGCAAAAGTATCTGGGCAGATTAAAATACTTGAAGTAGATTTTTTTTTAAACATTTTTTAAATTAAAAATGTTGTAATTTAAAGTAAGCTTTCTTAAATTAAGAAAATTTAAGAAAATTTACAAGGCATTGAGCCCACCAGCTTAATAATCACATTACTGTCAATTTTTTACCATTCGTATTTCAGAATTTTAAATAAGTCATGTTTACTTGTTGATTTTTGACCAAAAATTTGCAGATTAAGGTGTTCGCATAGATGTTCAATAGGATTAAGATCAGGGTTTTGCAAAGGCCATTCCATTAATCAAATTTTTTTAGTCTTGAAAAAGTTTTTTACTAGGGTTGAAGTGTGCTTTGAATCATTTTCCTGCTGAAACATCCATCCTCAAGGTATTTTGTCTTCATTTTGTCTTATGTGGTAGCATAACATCTCTAATGATATTTTTGTACATATTTTTGTATTTATTACAAAAATATGTACAAAAATATTATGCCATCAATCAAATAGATAGGACGTACACAGTCTCTATTGAAGCAACCCCAGACCATAATGTTTCCACTCCCGTGCTTTACTATTGGTAGCTGGTATTTAGAATCATTTCTATGGCCTTTTGGTTGACTAACATATCTAATACCATCAGATCCAAATAACATAAACTTAGATTCATCACTAAAAAGTACTTTCGACCATTGGCCTTGACCAATTCAAATGTTCATTAGCAAATCTCAACCGTGCTTTTTGATTCTTTATAGAAATAAAAGGTTGTGTTGTGGGACATCTTCCAACACTACATTTTAAATTATAAAATTATAAAATTCTTATAAATTATGAAATTATAAAATTCTTTTATTTCAGCATTTAACAAGACAACATTTTTGCGTGGATCATTTTTTGTGGCATGAATTAAAATTTTATCTTGTCTTTCAGATGTAATTTAAGGCCTTCCTCACTTTAGAGAGATTGTATTGTTATTTCTTTCTTTATATCTTTTATATACATCCCCTACTGTCGATTTTCCTATATAAACTGATCCGCTATGTCTCTTATAGTTCTGCCTTGTTTAATTGCACGCAATACAAATTCTTTGACTAAACTTGTATATTTTTGCTTTGTCATTTAAAAAAATTTATTCAAAACAATTTTCTTTTTATTTAAAAATACTTTATATTTTACTTATCGCTATTAAACATTAAATAAAGCCAACAAAAGTATTCTGCCCTGATACGTTGGCACACACATATTAAAATAAAATGAACTCTTAAGATTAGATTGCTTAGATTTAGTAAAAATTCATTTGTTTTTAGAATTGTAATCAATTTTTTGACATTTCAATGAAAATTTGAAAGAAATTAGACTTTTCATTCAAAAGTTATCTCAAGTTATGCGCTTATCCGGTTACTATTGCTTCTTTTTAAAAATATTATGCAATTAAATAACATTGCAAATATGTATGTATGTATGTATGTATGTATGTATGTATGTATGTATGTATGTATGTATGTATGTATGTATGTATGTATGTATGTATGTATGTATGTATGTATGTATGTATGTATGTATGTATGTCTATGTATGTCTATGTATGTATGTATGTATGTATGTATGTATGTATGTATGTATGTATGTATGTATGTATGTATGTATGTATGTATGTATGTATGTATGTATGTATGTATGTATGCATGTATGTATGTATGTATGTACACATACAAAATTTACTATGTAGATAAACTATAATACTAAATTCTTACAAAAGATTGGCAAGATCTCTAAGTAATTTAAGTATGTCTGATACTTCAACAAAACGATTAGAATGTAAAATTTTGATAAAATTGAAGTGCTGAATAAAAAAACCAAGTTTATTTGAAAACAGTATTAATGATTCCATAAAACAGCATACATAAATATTAGTAATATATGGCACCATAAAAATGAATAAATATGGCACCATAATAAAGTAGAATATTAACAGCACAGTTGTAAAATATTGACTAAACATAAAATATTTAATAATTATTTACTGTTTTGAAAAGGTTAACAGTTAAATTCTAAAACTTCTATAAATAAAATCAACCTCGGAAATCATTTTTTTATAGAAGAAAACTTTGTTTTCTTTAAACTGATGATGTAAGCCTAGATGATATATATGCTCAGTAATTTCATCTTCGTTGAAATAAATATCAAAAAGCAATTGGTCTGTAGTAGGGTAAAGAAAAATCTTGCAAAAAGATTGAAATCTATGCAAATGTGATTTGAGAGAATCCTAGAATAAAAATTTTCCAAAAAAAAAGTTAAAAATAAATCATAACACTTTGATAAAACTTTTAACTTATTTCACTTGCTTTAAAAAAAAAAACCATACCATGGTAATAGTTTTATTAACATCAACAAATGTGCTGTTTATTAAAACTTCATTCATTTTCTAGGTAAAAATTATTATATAGTCAGAATTTCGTTAAACACCAAAAGTTATTTTACCGATTTTAGGAATTTTTTTTAACAACAATGATAATAACAATATAAAGCTATAATCATATAATAATAATAATAATAACAATAATAATAATAATAATAATAATAATAATAATAATAATAATAATAATAATAGTAATAAAAATAATACACAAAAAAATAACTTACTACTACTACTACTACTACTACTACTACTACTACTACTACTACTACTACTACTACTACTACTACTACTACTACTACTACTACTACTACTACTACTACTACTACTACTACTACTACTACTACTACTACTACTACTACTACTACTACCACTACTACTACTACCACTACTACTACTACTACTACTACTACTACTACTACTACTACTACTACTACTACTACTACTACTACTACTACTACTACTACTACTACTACTACTACTACTACTACTACCAGTGTGCGCATAACTACTTAAGTGCACGCATAATTACTTAAAAAAAGAGAATAAAAATATATCAGTGTTAAAATAAAATTGAAAATTATGTAGTATAATACCAGATTCTTGTCAGGAAATTGATATAGTATTGACTCTTACAAGGATTCAAAAGTCTGGTATATGACGTTTCGAATGTTTTAATGCAGATTTCTAGAAATCCTTGTCATCATCCTCAAAACAAGCAAACTAATTGCGGTAGTGGTGTAGTGGCAAGAGCGCTTGCTTTGTAAGCGAGAGGTTCGGAGTTCGACTTCCACCATGTCCCTGGAAGTACCGCGCTCAACTTAATTTCTCTGCGCAGCGGCCTTGCTTGTCAAGGTTCGTGTTACGGAGTTAAAGAGTTGAGAGAGGGTTGTACCATGATTTACAACAAAAAAAAAAAAAAAAAATAAGTAGCCTCCTCGACTGTAGTGGCCCCTCGGGCCTTGGGGAGGTGAATAATTAAAAAAATAAATAAAATAAAATAAAATCCACCTCTACGTCTGTGTCAAAGCCTTCTTATGTTGCAACATTTGAGAGGACACACCACTGCTCAGCGAAATACCCTAACTTGTTCCATTTTAAACAAAGTAGGCTGATATACTTTTAAGGAAGTTAATAAAACATGTTGCACAAGAAATAACATTAGGAGACAAAAAATTATGAGTGAGATTATTCCTAAGTACTAAAGTACAAAATTAAGGCAAACAAACACACAATAAAATGAAAAATAATTAATTTAGCATAATTTGATATTGAATAAGAAAAAGCCTTATGAACGATATTTTGCGTTATGTTAATGTGCTGTTTATAAAGCGCATGTATATTGTAAAATTGTACACAGGTGTTGTATGACGTATTTTACGGTTAACCGATGAAAAAAATGTCCTTCAAGTTAAGCTTCAGTAAATAAGAATGCTATTGGTCAGAGAAAGTGTTAATTGATTGGAAGATAAAAATGTAAGGTGATTGGTTAGTAATATTTTTGTGTTTAGAGAGCATAAAAAATAAAAAATATAGAAAATATCCGAAAGTTTTCTAAACTATTAAGAGAAAATATTTAGACTTACAAAATTAGTCAGGGGAAGGGTACCATGAGATTCAAGATATACAATACAATGGAAGTTCCGATAAGTCTCTTAGGCCCCCGATGCACAACATAATACATTAAAGCAAGTTTTTAGGTAGATAAATCTAAATTTACAAACCGTAAGGTTTGATTTTAAAACTAGTTGAACTAGTTTTAAACGGCTTGAACTAACATATATTTGTTGGATTGGTTTTAGAAATGTACAATAAACTGAAAAAGGTCTAAATTCATATGAACAACCTCATCAGCTAATACCTTCACCATGCAAGATTACCAAAAAATAGTCAGGAGAACGCCTAACAAAATTCAAGAATATAATAAAAAAGACTTGCAAGATGGAAAGCAACAAAAAAGGATCACCTAGTCTGCCAAGGAAGGGCCAGACAGAAACTGACCTCCTCAAATCATTGACTTATCAGTAATAAAGTGTCATAATAGATCAACCTCACTCTGTCAGTTTCATTAAATATGTTCATAGAAATAAAATATTTTAAATTCACTAAAAATAAATAAATAAAATATGTATTGAGGTGTGGCAGTTACTCTTGTTATTGAATTGCGATCAATTGTTTTTTTTACTGTTGTTAAATTTTTTAGTAAGTTTTCGTATAAAAAATTATATTTCTATAGTTATTTTGGTTAAGCAGTTAGACAATTAGGCTACTTGAAATATTTTTGGTGTGGTTTGTAGGATAGGCAAATCTTGAAAATTCAGTTAAAAATATTGAGATAGGGTTGTCACATCAGCTAACAATGGGTCAGTCAGTACACCGACCTCCTCAAATCGTTGATCTATTGGCAACAAGGCTTCTTTGCTAATACCTTCCCTATGCAAATGTAGTATTAGTAGATAGTATTAGTACCTTAACATATATTTAAGTAGAAACATGCAAGTGGATTTTTCAATAAGCAGCCCTTAATGAAATATAACCAATAAAAGCTGAATTGACACTGCCTTTTCAATCAACCTAAAAATTCACACTACCATCTAACTAAAACTTTCTTGATGGTTACTTGTTAATGAATGTTACATTAGTGTCATAATCTACAAATTTTCTTTAGTAGCTAAAAGTTTTAGTGTCTAGGTAGAAAAAATAAATTCAAACTGATATGTAACAAAACTCGTAGTTGTCATAGCTCAAGATTACTGCTCAAATTAAATTCAATCAACAACGTTGTGTTCTTATCTAATATTAAAATATCTATCATAGTATAAATCAAAAGATTCCCAACAACTCCCAACAACCTTCTCTGCCCTCCTCCCAACAATCTTCTCTGCCCTCCTCCCAACAACCTCCTCTGTGATTTACTGTCAGCTAATTAGAGCATACTACTGCCTGGCGTCATTAATTTAAATTTAAATTGATGAAATAATGTTAATGCTAACACCTTTAAAAATAAATATAATTAATTCATATACTAGTTGTAAAAATAACTAACTATGATTGATTTAAGATTTTTGGAATTTTAAAAACAAACACAGCCTAAAGGTTAAAGAAACACTGCTTTATATCGTAAACAATATTTGTTGCTAATAAATTCAACTCCTCTAGACCAAAGAAGCCACTACAATTAAGGTTATTCATTTTTATTTACTTTTTTCTCTTTTCCACTTAATCAATGTTTTGTATTTGATCTTACAGACAAAACCAACTGCTTTCAAGAAAAATCTTATGCTCATTTTTCAGGGTTTTTTGTGTTTAAATCAAGTTTTAATAGAAAAAGATCAATCGATAATAAAATCTGATATTATTATTAAGCAAATAAAAATTTATGTTTAAAATATTTAAAGATAAATTTGTGCAGCACCTTTAAAAAAATGTGCATCACTTGTATAAAGTTATAATGAAGAATTAATATCTAAAGATGGTCATAATCGTAATGAAAATAATTATTATTGCAAACCATATTTAGGAATTGCAAAAGCTATCTATAATTTATTCAGTAAAATGGTCAACTCCTAGTGGAAGCATGCAAAATCATTTATTTTTAGTACACACAATTGTTACTGATAAAATTGTTAAAATTAAAAATTTAAAAATAAATTAGTACAGCACAATTGGTTCTGCATCAAAAGTAGAGGTGTACCGGATATGATATCCAGCCGGATAATCCAGCAAAGTTGCTGGATAATCCGGTATCCGGCCAGATATATCATATATCGGGCCGGATATAGCCGGATATGTAATTTTTGAGATTATCTCTTATCCCACTTGTGTACATACTTTTATAACAATTAGGAATTAACTTTTTTGCGTAACTTAATTAATAAAAGTAAAAATCAAGTATTACAGTGAAATAATATACCATAGTATATTATTTTACTATAATAGTAATCGCAAAAAGTTAACTTTTGAATGAATGAACATTTGATCACTATTGCTCACTAATTTTTCACTATAATTCACTAATAACTTCTAAATTTTGAAAAAAGAAAAAAAGAAACAAAAACTTTTGAAGACGAAAGTAAAGGCTTTATTACAAATAAAAATAACAGTTACTAAATACATACTAAATACAGTTACAAATAAAAATAACAGTTAAAAATAACAATAACTTAAAAATGTATGAGTATAATATATTATACTTCATATATATATATATATATATATATATATATATATATATATATATATATATATATATATATATATATATATATATATATATATATATATATATATATATATATATATATATATATATATATATATATGTATGTGTATATATATATATATATATATATATATATATATATATATCTCAATAAGTAATATAATATATATCTCAATAAGTATATATAAGTCTCAATAAGTATTGTTCAAGGAATATTCAAAGAAATATTTCAAAAACAGCAAAACGACATTCTTAAACTTATCAGCGGAAACCTAAAATTATCCAATGACAGAATTGATGGCTTGAATGCAGAAATATTATCAATAAAAGAATCGTATAAAACTCTGTTCAATGAAAACGAATCAAGAAAAGTAAAACTTGAAAATGTCAACGAACGACTAAAAAAAATATGAATGTGTTCAAAAAGATATTGAAGAGAGTTTAATTTTTCCCAAGATATTCAAGAAAAAAAAGTTCATGACCTAGAGGAAAAAACCCATAACAAAACAGAAATCGGTCCAACAGAAAAAAATAAAATTAGACCCATAACAAAACAGAAATCGGTCCAACAGAAAAAAATAAAATTAGACAGTTAGAAGACAGGCAAAGAAGAAACAATCTACGAATTGATAGACTTAAAGAGAACGAATCGGAAAGCTGGGAGGAAACCGAATTAAAAGTCATTAAAGTATTTTAAAACAATCTTAACATAAAAGTAGTTACTATTGAACGGGCACACAGAACAGGAAAGATAAATTCAAAAAATCCGAGAACTATAGTGATGAAGTTATTAAATTATAAAGATAAGATTCAAATATTAAAAAATGCACAAACTCAAAGGAACGAATATTTACATAAACGAGGATTATTCCTTTGATAAAATAGTTATACGGAAAAAATTACTTGAAGAAATGAAAGTCAACAGGAACAACGGTATGTACTCGATTGTTATTTATGATAAACTAATAGTAAAAGAATTTCGAAAAAATCAGAACACTAAAATTTAATCATTTCAATTTATTATGTTTTTTGGTCTTTATACTTTTTTATTTATAAAGGATAAAACTATAAATTTTTATCAAAATTCATGGTTTAAATCTTTTCAAGTAAACAAAAATATACTTCTAGATAGTCATTCAGATCCAGATATTAATTTTTATAATAGTAGCGATGAAATGAAAAACATAAGTCCATTATATTACAACTAAAATACTTCAAATTCTGAAATAAATATAGATGTATTTTCAATACTATATTTAAATATTAGAAGCATTCAAAAAAATTTTGAGAAATTTAAACTTTTTTTACTCAGCACAAAAACGGAGTTTAAAGTTATTTGCCTCACAGAAACTTGGTGCCACAATATTGAAATTGAAAACAATTCAAATTTCTAATTAAATAATTATAAAGTAGTTCATCAACTTAGAAACTCTAATAAACCAGATTGTTGGCCTTTAAAATATTGTATAGTATATTTTCATTTTATTTGCAAAGGTTTAAAAATTTGGTTCTTTAAAAACTTATTTTTTATTTTTTATTTTCTAATTAAGAAAATCTAAAAATTTTTACTTAAAATTTTCAATTCTTTTCATTATATTTCCTAATTAAGAATTCTTAATCGCAATAATTAAAAACTGTTATATATAGTCTTGGATATTTTTTTTTTTTTTCGTTTGTTTATTTTTTTATTTTTGCTTGGTATTCAATTATTAGAGAAAACAAATTTTAGAGTTTATTATTTTTATTTAAAATATATATATATATATTTTTTTCTTTTTATATTTGACAAAATTTTTAATAACAAGATTCGATGGCTATATTATTTACGGATTATTGGGGACTTGCCGATAAGACTATTTTGTCTTCTTCTTGCCCCCGCCATGTGTAGTATTTCAAATGAATAATTTTAAACAATTTGACTGAAAAAATGACTTAAAAATAAAAAGTCCTTAAAGCTATTTGGGGGTAGTATTGCCCCCCCCCTCAATATAATTTTTGTTCCTACGACCCAGTTACACCCATAGTAAAATTCTTCTATTTTAAAAATTCCTAGAATTCCTACAAAGAGACGCCATTTTAAACCATTGATTGTTGATTCTCAAAGAATTTTCTCAAAAAAAAGTAGTATGTATGTATTTATACATGTTTTTAAAATGATGAGGAAAAAATTTTAAAAACAAACCTTTATATAATCATTCACATGAGACATAAGTTGTTCATTTTTTAACTTTTGAGCTTCTGTTAAAATTCCAATAATGAAGTTTTTTAATAAGTCAAGCAAAATTTCATTTGAAGACAGCTTTAATTGAAATAAAATATAAAATGTTACATAAAAAAAGTCAACACTAGCAAATAAATTTAGTTTATGCTTATAATTTCTTAAAAAAAAATTTAAGCAAAAATACTTTCAGAAAAATTGTAGTCATTTGAAATAGTGAGCCAAATATTTCATTAAAAATTTTAGGAAATACATACCTCTTCATTGACATTAACATTTAGATTATTTGTTTTGTATAAACCCAGAAGCACATCTTCACTATCATATGAAGAATCCTATATATTTTATTTTGAAAAAATACTCTATTAACTAATACTATTGAGCAAAAAAAAAATATTTTTCTGTATTAGACTACAAGTGAATAGCTAAAGAGACAATAACAAATAAAGTCAAAATCATGTTTATTTCTAAACTTAAAACAGAAAGTTTTTGCTAACAACTTTAAACTTGCAAGTATTTTTTCATTATTGTAAACAAAAATGAAATTCTTAAAGCATTATAATTAAAGTAAAAAATCTTTGCTACTTATAAAGTCCAAAACAGTTTACCTTGATAGCTTCAAAGATATAATCTATTGATTTATTGAGATTGACCATTTTATCCTTCAATTTTTTTTTCAACCAAACGTGATGTATCTTAACAAAACATTAAAATTAAAAAAAAAAAGAAGTTTTATAACTTACTGTTAACAACTTACTGTTAACAACTTACTGTTAACAACAAATAAAATAAAAAGATTACTATGTAGCAAAAGTCTGTAAAATAAATGCAAAAAATAATGCAAAACCAAAAACAAAATACTGACCTTTTCCTTTCCAATTATGGTAAAGATATTTGCTTCCATATCTATAGCTTTAATGTGGTCAACAGTAGAAAACCTTCATAGAAAAAAAAAAAAAATTAAATATTGAACAACTTGCAATGCATATATTTTATTTATTTTATATCTAATGATTTATTTAAACTCACTTATTTATAACTGCAAGCAATATTGCTGAAGCTGAGTCTGACCAAAAATTTTCCCACGAAATCCAAGCTACAGGCCCAGAACAATAAACTGTGCATCTACAAATATTTATTTAGCTTAATGTAGTTAAAGAAAATATACAAATATTGTTGCATTGTTTTGATGTTTAAGCTTTATTTGTTTGTACTTAATACTTTTTTTTTATACTTTTATGCTATTTTGCTTCAGTTTTTTATAATTTGTTCAAACTTTTCTTGATTAATAAAACATTTAATTGTTCAAAATAAAAAAATAAAAATAAAAATAACAAAAACAAGTTATTCTAATGGTGGAGGATTTTTTATTTGTACTAAGTTATTATAAAGAGGTTCTTACAATTTAAATTTTTTTAAAGATATACCGTTTAGTATATTTTATTCTAAACAACATAATTTTAGGTAAGCGTGGGGATGGGCATTACAAAAGAGTGATGCTGTCTATGATTAAATGAAATAGTACAATAAAAAGAAACAAAAATAAGATAAACCTCACAAAAGATTTACATACTTAACCAAAATTTGAGTTTGCATAACTGTATTTGCTAGTGTTGATTTGATAGAAGAAAGTTTTTGAAATGATGAGTCATATAGTTGCAAAATGTATTTCTAGCAAAAAAAGGATTTGAAAATAATGTTGAGGTAAAAAGCTTTTTATTTTAAACACAAAACAAAATTCTGTCTACTTGCAAACAAAAAACAAGATTCTACCTCAACATGCAAGCAAAAATCATTGTTCATTAACGAAAGTTCATTAAAACATTCAAAAGATTCATTTCTTAAAAATTGAATAAGATCAACGAGACAGTCTTTTTTAAACCTTATTGCAAACCATTCTTCCTCATCTAAGCTCTTGTCATTTAAACTAACAACACGAGTTTCGTTTAATGAAACATTTTCTGTAAAAATAAACAAATACAACTAGTATAGATATAGATATATGCTACTTATATAACATGTAGATATATGCTTTATATAGAACATGCTAATATAAATACTTAAAATATTTCATATAAAAAATAAGAAAAAAACAAACAAGCAACAACATACGAATAAGATTTTCTGAATGCACATTTAAACGTGTTACAAAGATATTCATTGTATTTTGAAGAAATTCTATCAGCATGTTATTAATCTCAATCATTTTCTACAAAAAAAATTTACAAACTTTATTTCTGTTGGCTTAAAGTTAATTATTCATAGATTTAGTAAAATATTTTACAGTTTATTATTAGAACACAATATATCAATAAAAAGAGGTTAAAAAAGCATTGTTTACTGTAAAGAGAATCTATCTTGTATGTATATACATTAAAACAGTTTTAGGTAAAATCTCACACAATGGAAGCTCTTATTAATTTCTTTCATCATATGAATAATATGTGCTGCACATTTTAAACAGGTTTCAGTATTGGCAACAAAATCTGTTTCATAGAAGATAAATAAAAAACATAAGGTTTTGAAAATCTTTTTATTAAAAGTAAATAATAATATAAAGTTACTTCTACCAGTTTGTGAAAATGATGTTGATGAATTCCATAATAAATCTAATGATTTGACGCTTTCTCCAAACTGTAATGACAGGACATTAACTTTTTTTAATTGAAATTAACATACTGTTAAAAATTGTAATATAATGTGCATGTGTGTGTTTGTATGTGTGTGTGTGTATATATATATATATATATATATATATATATATATATATATATATATATATATATATATATATATATATATATATATATATATATATATATATATATATATATATATATATAATAAATAGATAGGTTTACCCACAGCTACTGTATTCTGCTAGACTAATTGGATAAAGTTGGCAAAACACTTGCTGAGCTGTGCAAAAAATTATTATATTACTAAAATTTTTCAAACATTTTCAATTTAACATTCAAGAGTTTTATGGTGGAATAGTTTATATTTTAAGTAAAAAATGAACTTTTTTAATCAATCATAGTAATCTTTAATAATCTTAAAGTGATCTTGGCAAAAAAAAAAAAATTATAAAAAAAATTTATAAGAATTTATGGCGATTATAGAAAAAAAAAACATTTTTAAATATTTAACAAAAAAAATTTTCTTGATTTTGACGTTAAATTAATGTGCACATCTTTTGAATTGATATTGCTAAAATCAGGTAATTTTATTGATTTAAAATTTTTATTTTTTATTCAAATAGTTTTTTTTTGCTTTTGCAAATTTTGCTTTTACATTACTAAAATAAGCGTAATATAATTTATTTAAATTTGTTTAACACATATTTTATTACTATATTTTAAAGTGGATTTCTTTTGATTTAGCTTCATTTAGAGATCTTCGTTTAGAGTCTGACATCACACTAAAATAGGGAGCTGCCAAGGTCTTTAGTACATACATCGACTGACTAAGTAGGGAGAAAAATCAAGGAGTACTTCTTTATCAACTAAAGGCTTGGGTTGGGGCAGCAACTGTTTTTTTAATTATTATTTGATTTTTTTCACATTTTTCCAAAAAAACGTTCTCCAAAACATGAAAACAAAAAAACTTAACCTACTAAAGCATTTATTTGATGCAAGTAACTTAATAATTCTTTTTCTTCAAATTTCTCAACCAGAATGAATGATTGTTTTTCTAAATAACTTGTTACATGCTTTAATTCTTCAACAAAATTTTCTTCAAATTGCTTTGAAAGACTTTTAGTAATATACTGCTTTCTAAATAAAAATTAGGAATATAATAAAAAAGAGCAAAAACATTTACAAATCTAATAATGTGTTTAAATCACTTGAAATACATTAATTTAGTATTTAAAAAAAATAATTAAAGTCCTTATAAAAAAAGTCCCTTAAAATTAATTATTAACACCATATTTTTAATTAACTAAATCAGTAAAAATATAGTTTATTTTTTTTAACAAATTCAAGAAGTTCAAAAAATAAAGTACCATAATAGGGTTAATCTGATGAAGAAGAAGTATGTACTAGAGCCCAGTCATTCAGCATAATAAGCAATTAAGTCAACAATAACAATATTATTGGCTAATGGATAAAGTAAAAAAAGGATTAGTCAGATTATTCAAAACTAGCATACAAAAAAGTGCAGTCTTGGGGGGAAAAAAGATATAGACCAAAGAAAAAGATGGTTCAGTTAAGAGTACCAAAAACACATAAAAGATTAGGTGAAGGTTTTAAACCTAATTTCACATAAATAGGTGAACTGATACATAAGTTGACTAACCATGTGATTATTAGATATTAGTGATGATTATTATTTATTTTGAAAATCAAAGGATAATCCTAATTAACAGTCAAAGTTGTAATAACTGAATTTAAATTAAATTTAGGTTTCAAAAAAATATAATAAAGTAATGTAATCAGTATTCAACCAATTAAATAACATAATACAATAGAAAAAATATAATTCTTAATATAACATTTTTTCTGAAAATAAAATACATTTTTGAAATACATGTTTCAAAAGTGGAGAATGCTAGAAATATTTATACAGAAATTATTTAGCCATAAATGATTCTTTCTATGTAAATAAAGCAAATAAGACTATTTATATCAATTTCAATAAAATAACCATACATTTATAGCTAAAATAGAAAATCAAAGGGAATTGATTTGGGAATATTAAGTAAACATATATTCAACTTTAGGTTTTATGACAGTGACATATTAAGAGGTTATTTAGGGATATTAATAAATAAATTTTCTACAGATGTTTAGAGTACCTTTTTTTTTACATGCCTCATTGAATAATCACAATTCTACGCTAATAGTTGCTTTGTTGTAATAAGTGTTCAATATTTTTTTAAATTTTAAACATTACTTTTAACATGTTGTGGCCACAAAATTTTAACAATTAAATTTGAATAAAGAGTTTTAAATTATTAAAAAATTTGACTCTAATAATAATATTCAGGTAGTTTTGAAGCCTTTTTACTTTTCAAAATTGCATCATTTGAATAGAGTAAAGCAATATAAATGTAGTTATGTAAATTACAAACAAAAAAGTAAATAAACAAAAAAAGTAACCAAAAAAAAAAAAAAAAAAAACCCGGAAATCTTTAAATAAATTAAACAATAAATATACATAAATGCTAAAATTTGTAAAATTTATTATCTACAAAATTATTAAAAAAACAAAACAAAGAAAAATCTTTTTTCTTTTAGTATTAAAAGTCATGCAAATTTAGATTAGTTTCTGGCAAAATGCCAACCTTAGTTGATGTACATACTGAAGCCCCCAATAATGGCTATTTTCAGCACCTGTCTTTAACAATATTTCATGCAAAGTGAAGAGCAAAAAAATATTTATATACTTTGTGCAATAAAAACAACTAAATATCACTCATATTTATGTTTTAATTAAACTAAACAACTATTTTCATGTTTCAAATACATTTTTTAGTATTTTATACTAGCATTTCTAATAGTTGATTTTTATTCAGCAAAATATTTACAAAGATTAAATATTTTAAAACTAAAATAAAAATAGATCCTATCCAAAGTAATCAACAACCAAAGAGAATTTTGTTCTTTGCAGAAATTGTTTTCGATTTATAGAAAAAGAAATTAAACATCCTTGCACAAAGTTAGTTAAGCAAAGGAATTTCATACATATTGTATAATCCACCTCACCTGTGACTAAAGGAAAAGTTTTATCAACAACAATCAACAATTTAGTAACTAACAACGCAGAAATAAAACTGTATAGTACACAATTTATACAATGTATACTACAGAACTCAAAAATCTTATTTATTAAAAAAATTTATTATTTTTAACATGTTTTTATAACTTACTAGTGACTTTGTTTGAGTGAAATTGCCAAAGATTGGTCAATCATCATCTAGAGATTGACCAATGTCTATGAATGAATTGGGGAAGAAAATCAGCTGAGACTTTTTTTTGAACTTGCACTCTTGTGAAACTACCCTTACGGAAATATTCCATGGAATTACATGGGTATTTCGTAGATTTCCATGGAAATCCCATGGAATTCTATGAGTAAACCATGATTTTCCCATTTAAATTGAAATTCCATGAAATTTCCATTAAAATTGAAATCCCATGGAGTTTTCATAAGTGAACCATGTTTTTTTTTCATAGCTAATGTTGCACCATGGGTTTTATAAATGCGCGTTTTAAGATGCTGTTGCTACTTATACATAGAGTTACAATAATTTGTAACTTGAGTAAACAATATTTTTTGAATTCTTCTGTTTTTCTATATTTAACAAGATTATAAATTATATGTTTTACAATGCATCACACTTAATATGATAACTAAACATACAGACATAAACAACTAGACAGACTTGCAATAGCTAGAATATGATAAATCATTTATTATATTCTATATATACATTTATTATTATTAAAATCTTGTACCATGACGTTGAGACTCATATTTAATGTCTTGTTCTTGAAGCTTGGAGTCTTGGTCTTGCTATTGAGCCATAATGTCTTGGTCTTAGTTTTGGCCTTTACTATCTTTACGTCTGGATATTATCATACTATGATGCATTATAAAATGCATATATTTATCTTATTTTAGCTATTGCTAATAGCTTTGCTTACTTTGCATAACTTGCAATAGTATAGCAAGTATGTTAAGAGAATCATTTTGATTTTTATTTGGTTTACTACAAATATTTTAGTTTTAATGTACATTAGACATAATATAACCAGTGTAACCATTAGATTAGCTTAGATAAGCAATGTATCAAATAAGATTAGATAACTAATGCACAAAAGGTAACTAGTACTATCTTTTTTGATTTTTTTGCTAATGGCTTTAGTTTGCATAAAAATTTTTGAAGTTAAAACACTTTGTTGTATGGTAAATGTTTATCAAGTTTTAAAAACACTTTATTTTATGATAAATGTTTTATTCAATTTTAGTTCTGCTAAGTTGTTTTTGTCTTTTTATTGACGCAACCATTCTAGTTATGATTTAGTTAGAGACCAGATCTAGTATCAAATATCAAGACCAGATCTAGTAGGGATATTTATTATGCTTTTTCTTTACTATAAAATATATTAGAATATGTAAATAATATAATAGTTTGTGTATAAACCCTTTTATTTTTACTTTATTTAAATTATTACATTATAAGCCGACAGGTTTGACTGGCAATATAAATGTTATTCATCATTTATATCATTTATAATATTGTCAGATTTTATATGTATTTAATATTTTTTTAAATAGTTCAAAAGCTGTCAAATTAAAATGGTGAATTGAGTTCGAATTAACCAGAAAAGATGTAGACGTAATCTTTGGGATTCAACTTGTAATGATGTTCTAAGAACAACTAAGTAGAGAAGGAAAACTATGATGTTTTAAAAATATTAGAAAGGAACGTTATTTAATGCGCAAAATTTTACTTCACAGATAAATGTAAGCATATAAAAGCAATGTTTATAAGTAATACACTATTATTTATTATAATACAATTATTATTATTTGTTTTTACTTAACTAATGCGAAGTGCTTGTCTAAAGTAAAAATAAATTAATTTATGCACACACTTTTACATTTACTATGTTTTTACATTACTATACTTAAGAAGTTACATATTTATTATATTTATTATAAGTCTAATAAATGTAACAATTTTTTTCAGTTTTAACAACATGTTTATACAATAATCATTTTCAAGTATAAAACTATTTAAAGTACAAAAACTATTTAATATAACAGGTGATGCGTAATTAGTGACACAAAAGTTAACTTAGTTTTGCTCGTAATATAATCTTTTTCATTAAACCATATAAATTTATTTTGGTAAATTGAATATTCTAGTTTTATTAAAAAAAAAAATTATCCAAAAAAAATGTTAAACGGCCAAGAAAGAGCAGCTCTTCAAAAAGCGTCAAAATTTTTTTTGTAAAAAACCCAAAAGCGACCAAAGCCGAAGCCGCTAACCATTTTATTAAAAAAGGAATCGCTCGCAAAACAGCATATAGATATATCAATCAACAGCTTGATGGACAATGTTTAAAAATAAAAAAAAATTTTGGTCGCCCGTCATCGTGGACTCAAGAAAAAAAAGCGAAACTTAAAAGGTTGACCAACAATCGAAAAGGTGTAAGTCAAAGAAAGCTCGCACGTAAATTCAACGTAAATCAAGCAACAATTTGTAGACAATTAGCCAAAATGAACATAAAATATCGGAAACGCGAAAAAACACCGAAATACAATGATGAACAACGTCTAAGGGCACAAAAAAGAAGTCGAAAACTCGTCAATCACCTCTACAAAGAACAAAGCGTTTTAATTTTGGACGACGAAAAATACTTTTGTTTTGCTGGTGATGAAATGCCTGGAAACGCCGGTTATTACACGAACGACAAAGAAAAATGTCCAGAAAATGTTCGTTTTGTGGGAAAAGAGAAATTTCCGAAAAAAATTCTCGTTTGGATCGTATTATCACGATGATTTAAATTACATATTTTGGCCGGATTTAGCTAGTGCCCATAGAGCTAAAGAGGCAATATCGTGGATGAATGAAATGATTAACTTCGTGCCGGTCGATATGAACCCTCCTAATGTTCCCAAAGCCAGGCCAATCAAAGACTTTTGGGGAGTATTAGCTCAGAATGTGTATGAGGGTGGATGGGAGGCCAAAAGTGAACAACAACTGATTCGGCGTATCGAAGCCTGTCTGAAAAAAATTGATTTGACATTTGAAGGGTATCAA